TTCTTCCCAGGTAGCCCAAGCTAGTCATTTGTATAGTTTTGTATGTGTTTTCATTTACATTTCTGTGCAGTTTCAGGCCATGCTTTCAACCGGCATAAATCGCTCAAAATTGAAGGAAATGGCCTGAAACTTCACAGAAATGTAAAGAAAATCACAATACACAGGTAGAGATGTTTATTTTTTAAAATATTTCAAATATTTCTAAAAACTACACAAATGCCTAGCTTGGGCTACCTGTGCAAATACATGTCATCTGTCACGACATCTTGCTCTCTGTGTACTTATCATATTTCTCGGTGTGTAGTGATCCGAGTAGGAGTCGATGTTTATTTCATGCATATCGTTTAGCGGCGCGTTACTGTGATATAAGTGGTTTTAGAAATGGATCCTCCTGATGAACATTTACAGTGGAAAGGAACTGAAGAATCTTTCATAAAAACATTCAATGTATTTCTTCGGAAATCCGGGCAAGTCTGCCACATTATCAAATCACTGCGATCCCATCTTCCATYGACGTTGAAATACATCCTTGATGAGCCAAATCCCCACGATGGTATCAACATTTTAAGCATTGGTAGTGGAGACGGAGACATGGATATAGAAATACTGAAGATTGTCAATGAAGAGATGCAAAGAACTCGTCCAGGTCATGCAGTCAAAATGTTCAACCGAGCTGTAGAACCACAAGTGCACGCCTTGAACCAGTACAAGAATACAGTAGCCACACGYCTACCRAAGGAATTAAGCAATGCATCAGTAGTGTTCGATATCGACCAGCCTAAAACATTTGAAGAGTACGTGGCAGATTTCAAAGAGACTGTGGAGTTTGATATCATTCATTTTATTCACTCTATTTACTACACTGATATAGAAAAAGCTCTCAAACACTGCTACGAGAAAGGATTGGGCAATCGAGGTGCCATAGTTTTGCTTTTGGCTGGAAAAGATGATACTTATGAGGTTATAAGGAAACGCACGACGTGTGGAATTAGTCATTTTGGTAGTGATATCGTTGAAATTGTACGACAAAATGGCTGGCGTCACGAGGTTTATCCCAAAGAATCTTCCATAGATGTAACCGAGGTATTCGACGAAGAATCGATCGAAGGAAACTTGCTGCTTGATTTCTATGCACATTCACAAGACTTTCGCTTGAATGGTGATCCTGAAAAAGTGAAAATAACCCTGGATTGCATGAAAGAAATGTCGACCTTTGAGGATGGAAAGTTTTTGGCAAAGATTCGTGATGAAGTACATATCATTTTCAAGTAATTTTATATCCAATTGATGTTCAGTCTCAGCGTTTTCATTTGTTTTTGTGTTTATATTGTTTTTTTTTAGCGTTCATTAGATTTGGCATATATAATTACTAATTAAAAAGAATATTACAAATCTGTAAACTATTTTATAGTTATTTAAACAAAATGTGATGGTTTGTTTGTGAAACTCAACACGACAGCTACACGGCGAGTGTGACTAAATAAAGGTCATGGATCGTGAGTCGTGGTTAGTGTTTCGTGTGTACCAAACGTTCTAGTACTCAAAATCAATCATAAAATACATAGAAGTACATGGAAATAATTAAATACTCTAAAGATACATTAACTTAAAGCAAACGATGTATTTCTCGTTTCACGGTTATCGTGCTTTCAATTAATAAATATCCAAATATCCCCGAGTGGGTGTCGAAATACTCTGAACCAAAGACTACAAAGACGTATATCCACCGCGGAGAAAACAGCTGAAACCTTATATGTATAACGCACGCTATATGCTATATGATTAATCGCTATAATTATGCTAAGAATTTCTTAGTTTGAGAGTCCTTAATTAACTATCATCACCAATGTAATGATAAACCTATTTATTTGTTTATTTATATACAAGAAAAATGTAAGCAAAAGACAAATGTTTTAACAAATAGTTTGATAAGTACTGACGGCA